AATTTGTACTGATTCTATGATTCTTGCTGTGGAATTTTTGCTTTGTTGCTGATATACAATGGGGTCAAAATCTTTTTGTCTTTCAGCCGGGAAGGTTGGAAATCTAAAATTCAGGAGCAAAGCGAAATTTTATTAAAATTTGTTATATTAGCTCAGAGATTTAGGCAGATTAGTAATCTGATCTGTAGTATCTGTTGTGGGTCTTAGCATGAATCATGAAGACGTAGAAGAGTATCAGCAAGAGAACTTATTTGTTATTGATTAAACTGATCAGATGTCGCACTACTTCTGGATACTTCCTGAAATTCAAGCTTCGGGATAATCCTTTGATTTAGGCAAAATAATAACGTTTTGGATTGGACCAATACCGCTGGTGATGGTGGCGGATGTGGAAATGATGCGCGAATACTTCGTACAAAATGCAGATGTGTTCAGCAATCGGTGGCGCAATCATGCAACCGACTGCTTCATGGGTAAGCTGCTAATTCCCTGGGTTTTTTTTAGTAGCGTGAGCAATAAATTGAGTAGCAATTGTCTGATTCTGCACGTGCACTCTCTCAGGTCATGTTTCAGGAGGCGCATATGGCATAATCCAGATTGACGGCAATAAGTGGAAAGAGCAGCGGCGTTTCACGCTCCGCGTACTACGGGATTTCGGCGTTGGTCGGGCACTCATTGAGCAACGCATCCTAACGGAAGTTGATTACTTTGTCGACTACTTGCAAGCGAAGTGTGAGCATGGAGAGGAGGTGGACATTTGCGCTATGCATTCGGTCTGCGTCGGAAATATCATCAATTCAATTCTTTTTGGCTATCGCTTTCCACAGGTCAACAAAGTATTTCTTTTTTTACTCAAACCTCTCGGTCTTTAATCTTGTCGAGTGAGCTCGCCGCAAAATTTAGAGTAATGTTCCCAATCCACGTGCGACTCCGCAAATTTAAATTCGGCCTTCCCGTACCCGCAGGTAGCACGTAAGGCTCTGTAAAATTTTTGACGGGGAAAATTGTTTTCTCGGGAACCGCGGAAGCTAGCTCAACCCCGTTCTTTCCCCTCCTCGTTTCCTCCCTATCTCCGCGCGTCCTCTTTCGATTCT